CCGACATACAACAATAAAAATCAGAAGTAACTAATCCTCCAGAACTACCAGCAAGTGCAGCGGAAAGAAGGCCAGTCCAGTGCTTTCAAATGATTACTTAGACGAAAACCAAGGTTAACGACAATGTCTGACACGGTAATTGTATGGTTGGTTAGGCCTGGCAGAGAATGGAAGAGTCGAGTGTGCAGGCTCAAAAGGAGGTAATCATCATCAACATCGTCACCATCTTTATCATCGAACATTGGTGTTTGACCGCACAGCCAGGTCAGTTTAGCTGGACAAAGCCTGACAACTAAAAGGGAAGAATGGGATGGGAAAGAGCACCTAGGACTTGCCCAAAACAAACATACGAAGTACCTAAACCTCCAACAATCTGTCGGACAGTTTGGATAGAAACTGACAGCAAGAACACCACTGACATCCGTTAGCCGCCATATCGCTCAGTGTCTCCAGACAAGCACAGGAGTACCACCAGGGCCACATCGTGAAAGACAAGCGGAGCCAACGGCATTCAACCGCTTCGTAACATTCTTCATTCCATCAGACATGTCACATTCTGTCCATCTCTAGGTTTTCGTCACTGCACTTCACGACAGACGATATTCCTACATATGTAAAACATGACCCAACCGTCTTGACTTCTAATACTGAGTGCAGTCCTTGAGTAAAGTACCTTCTGCTTCACCTTCAGAAGCACCTTATATTTCCTAACCACACTTACAACTTGCTGGATCCAGCAGATTCCAGGCATACTTCTGGGACATCGGTGGTTAAAGACCTGAGGAGGTTTCAGATCCTCCTCAAGAAGTGGCCAAGTCTCGTACAATTAAAACAAAACAACCAGCACTGTAGCCTGGTACAGGCGTACTTTGAGAATCAGTGTTATACCTTATTGACGGCACAAATTGGAACGAGTTGGCAGACGCAATTCTTGTCTTTAAGCATCGTGTGTTAATTTCGTCCGTCACAATACCGTCAGAACATGTGAATTCCGAGGTACGTATAGTGTTGCACAACTTCCAGTGTCGCTCTTTGAATTCTTGGAGGCATGTTTAAAGACTGCACGTCCTGCAGCATATCCTCAGGGTCTGTGAGTGCGAAGTACATATTGGTCAACTTTTCTAACAATGCATGCACTTCCCGCACTTTTTTAAGAATAATAACAGTATCTGCCCACTCCAGGTCAACAGGGTTCTCAATCGGAGAGATCCGAACAGCGAGGGTTTTGGGTATCCAGAATTCGTCCAGTTACATAATCAACGATGAAATGGAGTGAGTAGACACCACTACTTGTAGAAAGGGTTTTGGAGAGCTCCCTATACAGTATCGCGCGCCTAGAAGTGGATAAACATAAACGGCGTATGGTATCCATGAGATTATGGAACGTAACCTGTTGCGTAAGTGAGCAGAAAAGGAAGAATCGGTCGACAAAATCACACCCTCGAATTTAAAAGAACACCAAGATTGTAGAGTGACTATATGCATGCCGTTGCTCTACTAGTTGACAGTGTGAAGATGTGGTTCATACAATCTCTTACAGGCAAAAATCCTGAGAGCCGTCCTCGGGTCCCAACACACGCCTCCGTAAGGCGACGTAAAATCAGCCATGTCATGAGTCCAGTTATAAAGTGGGTTGTCACACTCACAACATTTTCCGTTAAAATAGGCACTGCTACCAACTCACCGCAGTTGACTGGGACGGTGCCCTCCAACCAGATAGAGGCAAATACATTCGATAACCACTGGTTGAGAATTTCATTTCCATCTTTAAGCATATCAAGTTCGTCAGGACCAGCAGTTCGCTGGCGCTTGGGAGAAAAGACATGCGCGTATTTGCGAATCTACCGAAGAAGGGGGGGTCTGGAATCCGAATGAGGAATTCCAGGCAACCAGTTGACTCGTTGTTGAGGGTGTTCAACCCAACGATTCAAAGACAAACGATCCGTTCTGATCATCGATTATCTTGCTCATCAGAGCCTGTTGCGCGTAGCACTTAAAATAGTATTTGCACACTGTGAGATTCTCTCGCATCCTTTACCCTTTCCGATTCCTGGACCCACCGAATTTCTCCATCCGCAGACTGACTGACGGTAGACAACCGAGGTGTATTGTACTCTCACAGAAGAGGAACATGTATCCGACCTTCGAGCAAGCGTACAGCTATGCTTGAGACCCGATGCTTATATCAGACCCATTGCGCAGTTCCACAGGCAGGGTCGTGAACAGTACTCTCCAGTAACGATTAGCACCAGAAGATGGGTCGCCCCAAACTTAGGTAAGTGATTTTGGTAAGTCTGCTTCATATAACAGTCCCAGAGCTTCTCAATGGTCAGGCGAGGTGTGCGCGCCTTGTGCACCTCTGAAAAGGTCAAGGAGAGACAGTAATAGACAGGCGGGCGATTGGAAGCCACACAGCCGTTCCAGAACGAGCCAGAATCAGTGACTGATTCACTCCACCTATAGCCAATACCAATGTGGATATGTGTTGAATGTTCGCTGGTACACTTCAACTTACCAGCTATAAAACATGTACCGTAGGCACATTGGTTCCAGATGCTACAGCTTCGATCACCAGAAACAGGGAGGTAGGGCACACAGTCAAGCCTTAGAAGCAATGGCATGTTCAGTTTGTTCCAAAATTGGATAGCTACGTATTAGAGGCGATAGCTTTGATGCATCAGCGCGACTGACTGCGCGATTGGGCCATTTCCGCCAATATCATTAACCACTGCTGATTTGAGTCCCGGGGTCCTCATCCAGGGACCAATCCGGTTGCCCACCCGACTACGTTTACTGATTAGTGTTTTCACACTGCGCTACCAGGTCATACATTGTCCGCCGCTCGGTCGCTTCCACTCAGTATACGGATGGGCGAAACGAGCTCTGCGAGACAGACTATCATTTGGCATATGTAGTACATTGGCAGTGTTGTGGAATGTAGGTAGCTCGAGTGCGCTGTTTGGTTGTTGGTCTGTTCGCCGAGCTTGGCAGTTGGATTGCAAACGTTTCGTCACCAATCGAGGTGACATAGTTAGTGCAGGGTTGAGTGCGTGAATTCCTCCTCTTCTGGTAGTTCCAAAAGCGGTCTTCGCGTAGTTTGATTGGCCTCCTGTGAATCTGACGTGGTCTCAATCTCCCGTGTCTGGTTGGTTCGTTGGACGCACTCCATTCGGCAGTTCTGTATGTGGTTGTTCTCTTGTGATTCGGCCGTTTTCTTCTTGCTTTGTGGTGTGAGTTTGTTCCTTTGATTGGTTGACTCAACAGTCTTCCGTTTTTAGTAATTGTCTTCCTTTGATCCAATTGGTCGGTTGGTTGTCGTTAGGTTTCTTGGCTCAGAGTCCCGTGACTGTGTGGTTGTTTTGCTCGTAACGGCTGATAGACTGGGTCAATGTCGATGTGTTTATTGACCGATTTTTGTGTGGAGTACCACGCCTCGGCAAATTCTCGCTCCCGTTTTGTTCTTGCGTGAGCAAGTATTTGAACATTGTTCCGATTGAACGTGTGTCCTTCTCTGTATTCATGAATTGAGACAAGTGACATTGGGTCATGTCTTCTGCTGGCAAACTTGTGTTCATGTGTTCTGGTAGCAAGTTTTCTTCCTGTCTGGCCAACATAGTGTTTGTCGCAGTCGTTGCATTCAAGTTTGTAGACCACGTGAGTCTTCCTCAATGCATCCAAGCTTCCCTTTGGCTTCGAGAGAGTTCTTCTCAACGTGTTTGTAGGCTTGAAGGCGACTGTGATTCCATGTTGTCGTAGATGTCGTGCAGTCATCTCCGCCACGTTTCTGATATACGGCAGCGTAATCTTCCTCTCTTCTGGTGGTCTCGTAAGCACCTCTATATGAAATTCCTCGAGTAGCCGTTATTTCGGAATATCTCGTACAATCTTCGTTCTTCTTTTTTCTTCGTCTCTGTTGCGTTGCAGTGTGTCTCCACCCGCTTGAATAGGGCTCGAACACAGCTCCGCTTGTGACAGTTCGGGTGGTTGCTGTGGTAATTGAGAATCTGGTCTGTATGTGTTTCTTTCCTGTACACTTCAGTTTGCATTTGGCCGTTTGTTGTCCTTGTGACGAGCACATCTAGGAACGCCAATTTGTTGTTCTCCTCCGTTTCCATTGTGAAGTGGATATCGGGAAACACGTTGTTCAGCAGTTCTACAATAATGAGGCACTGGTGAGACACTGTACCGAATAAACAGTGTGTTATGTGAAGCGCATACCAAACCGTCGGCTGAGTTTCTTAGGTTACACAAAATCGTCTGCATTTCGGAAGGATCTGAGCCAAGGAGAACAATATCGTCTGCATTCTCAATGTCTGTGAGTGAGTGTCCCGGAAGCATTTCGACTCCCAAGGTTTCAGAGGCAGGTAGAGTAATTTCGAGCAGTATATCAATAACAAAGTTGGAGATGAAAGGGAAAAGAGGACAGCCATGTCTTACACCAATGGACGTAGTGAACTCAGGTGAGGGCTTCTTGTATACTCGTACGCGCCCACAGGAGTTCCCATACAGAGCCCCCATAAGGCAGAAAGATTTGCAAGAGATACCATTGATAGCCAGACAATGCCAAAGTTGCTGGCGTTCGACAGAATCAAAAGCAGCTTCCAAATAAAAAACGACCAAAGTGGGACGTCTGAAGGAGTGACGCCGTTCAAGGAATTGGTCTCAAGGTAAAGATATGGTCGATACATCCTCGACCAGGGCGAAACCCAGCTTGATTCTCACGAATCTGTCTCTCCCGATAATCCATCAACCTGGGCAAAATAATGCCAGAGAGCACCTCAGATGTGACAGATACCAGGCTCATACCACGATGGTTTTCACATGACGTTCTTATATAGGGACGTGAGGGTGGGTCCCCTATGCGATTAAAGTGTGTACAACTGTGCAGCCAAAACATATACAACTGTTTCAAACACAACATTCCAGAAGGAGAAACTGTATCGTCTTGAAGGTTGTAACTTATAAACTCAGACAACTTACTAGTAGACGTAAACACTTACCGAGTCGGACACAAAGTTCCAAACCATTCAGCAGAATTAGCCGCAGACAGGGTGACGGATCAGGCGTGAGTAAGTCTATCTGCAACTTGCTTTCCAAGCTGCGTTGTGACTCCGCTTTGGCCAGATAGGATGCTATTGGTCCTGGTTCAACCTCAGCTAACAAAGAGCTTTCAAACCCACAAACGAGTCCACATATAGTTGCGTCCACAGTGGATCTCACCTCTTTGCATAACAACTCTGTTTCAGTTGCCATTTTGTTGAGGCTATGCAAGCTTCGAAGGAGCACGTGAATCACAGTTGAATGGAGTCGTAGTTGTGTGAGATTTTGGTTGCCCATGCGGTTACGCTCTGCTGTTTGTAGTGGGTAGGTGACTAAGCAAGTGTGAAGGGTCCTCGAAAGAACCTGAAACAGGGGAAATTACGTATGTGAGTTTATCTAGGGTTCCCCGTCGACTAAGGGCAGAACATCATCGCATTTCGACAGGGACAACTATTGAAGCATGAAACACACTTTTATAGTCAACACCCCTCCGAAAATGAAACCTAGGCTTTATGGCCGATTGAAATTTGTAGAATATCAAACGAAAAATAAAAGTTAATAACCTAAGACCATGGAATATACGAAAAACAGTGCATATTGTAGGTGTACGGATACTGAAAAGCCACATAAAGCGTCCTAACTAAAGCAAATGTATATACAGAGTAATCACATCGAAAACTAAAGGCAATAAGAGACCCCACAAACGAGTCCACATATAGTTGCGTCCACAGTGGATCTCACCTCTTTGCATAACAACTCTGTTTCAGTTGCCATTTTGTTGAGGCTATGCAAGCTTCGAAGGAGCACGTGAATCACAGTTGAATGGAGTCGTAGTTGTGTGAGATTTTGGTTGCGCATGCGGTTACGCTCTGCTGTTTGTAGTGGGTAGGTGACTAAGCAAGTGTGAAGGGTCCTCGAAAGAACCTGAAACAGGGGAAATTACGTATGTGAGTTTATCTAGGGTTCCCCGTCGACTAAGGGCAGAACATCATCGCATTTCGACTGGGACAACTATTGAAGCATGAAACACACTTTTATAGTCAACACCCCTCCGAAAATGAAACCTAGGCTTTATGGCCGATTGAAATTTGTAGAATATCAAACGAAAAATAAAAGTTAATAACCTAAGACCATGGAATATACGAAAAACAGTGCATATTGTAGGTGTACGGATACTGAAAAGCCACATAAAGCGTCCTAACTAAAGCAAATGTATATACAGAGTAATCACATCGAAAACTAAAGGCAAATAAGCGACATACACTCATTTGCGACTCTCCTGGAACCCAACTGAATCTCTCGTTTGTGATGTTTCGAAGCAACTGAATGTGCTGCACCAAGCCGCCTCATATTCCAGTTGCCACGATGGTCGAGATATCGCGATACACGTATAGATATAATGCACTACTCATAAGATTGTTTGCAAATGAGTGTAATTCGCTAATTCCGTATAATTTGGTTTCAAGTAGAACGTAAGGGGACTGCGCCTACCTGATAAGTCCCAAGAAGGGCGAAACCGGTCGTGGGCTGTCGAAGAATTTTCAGCAACCTTATGAGTAGTGCATTATGTCTATAAGGCGAATAACTTTACGGTATGTGTCGGACTTTGTGGGGAATGACGGGTTGCAAGGTGTGTACTATGCAAACTATGCCCCCCACCGTATATACGCCAGGGCGAGGAACGGCTAGAATCCTTGTAGGTTGGGACCATCAAGTTCAGTTTTACGTCGCCCTTTGACGAAAGATGCTTGGAACGACGTGGAGGCTGCAGGAATCTCACGAGTAAGAAAAGTAACTGTCTCATGGAGCAAACACACACGAGAAAATGGCTTGCCTGTTTTTCTTCGTCATTCAGGACTATTGAAAAAGCTCAGCAAGATTTGTTAGTCATAGGCCTTATGGCAAAGTAATTCAGAGTGAAAGTGGCTAGTTCACCATCACTGTGGAAAGAGCAGACACACAGGCGTTAGACTATGGTTAATTCAGTTCAGATTATGCGTTACTCGGCATCGCTTATCCGACCTTCTTATCACACACGCAAAGAACAATAACTGAATTGCAAAAACTTCTGCGCATATTCTCATTTTTGAGTTGCGCTACGGTATGGCACACAACAGAGCAAGTTAGTCTGCTCCGAAGAAAGAATCAGGTGTTCCAAAAACAACAAAAGTATTGACAGTCAGTGGAGGTTGCGCCGGCTCTTGGGATTCAAGCAACGTGTTCTTTGTTCATTATCCCGACTAATGAAGCATTCGAAGAGGATGCGCTTGACTTTGGTCCCAAGAAGTTTAAAGTCTTAGGAAAAAGAAAACATGCTGAGCGATGCAGCTTAAAACAATGTTTATTTTTAAATCAAATCTAGTGAGAACAGAGAGTAGTGGGTTTTCGCAAGCACATGACCCGAAGGCACTTCTAGTCCAAACTGTAAAATGCAGTAAACCGAATGTAAAGTTTTCGGAAGCAGAAGTTGGCTTTGCTTGATACTATTCAATTCGCTCCATACATACAACAATACAGTGTAAGAACATCAGCATGGTGTTGTATTTCCGTTAAAAAGACTGCACCGGAGAGAATGACGATTTAATGTGAACCTTTGAAAGTGGCAAAACACAGAACTTGACTGAGCCCGCATTTTCGGGTCGAAGAAATCTGTCACAATGAGAGTACGAAAAAACTGAGATACTCAAAAATGTTCTTAGTTCATACAAAGACAGATGAGTGAACGAATGTATAGACCTGCTTCCCAATCATCCTGAAGTAATCAGGCTGTAAAGACACTCGGAAGAAAGTGCATACCATCAGTCATGAGCTTAATCCAGGATACTTGCTCTTGGATTGAACATTGTGTGAATTATGGTCAAGCACTACAGAGGACTAAGGAATGCAAACTCTTGAGTTCCAAACAACCAGTAAATTGTGTATACACGCAATGCTGAAATTTTCAAGTAATGTTGCGCGCATCTGAAAAGAGGGCATGATTTTTTTTTGTTACACAACACGAGTAGAGGCACCTGCATACCGATTCATATAGTCTATTCGTCTGACCCGAGTGCAGGACAGACAAAATCAACAATTTCAGGAAACCAGCACGGGTCACAATAGGCACAGGTCGGCAGTCACTAATGCATTAATATTATGCTACTGATGTTTTGTGAGTAGTGAGAACTTCCCAAAGGTGGCCCGCATCTGGGCGGGGGAGGTAACTAACCAGCGGTGACCTGGATCCAAAGCGAGGCACCACGTCAACGGTACCTGAAGATCGTGGATTTGACAAGGTTATAGAGCCGTCATGCAGCATACAGCTTGGCTAACTTCCATAGTAATTCCAAGCACTGATTATGAGTGGTGTCAGTACCGGCAGGAAACCGAAGCTCACTTCGCAGAATGTGCTGACTTGGAGTATTCTTAAGTTTATTTACTAAAGTCAATTGTCACGACTAGGCGAACCACAAGGCTACACCGCTTAATTTAATCAGATGTAGTTCTCAAAGGCTCGCAGTCTGCAGTTTACCGTCTGTTTGCTAGAAGCTCAGGATGGATGACTTAGGGCAAACACGGTTCAAAAATGGACATAGAAAACCCTTTCCCACAGGTAATCTCACTAATCCAACCCAAGAGGTCCCACTGAATATGAAGGGAGGTGATGGTGCAGGAACCCGAGCGTGAGAAATGGAAAAGGGAGTGCGAGGCCCGGGAATCGAACCCGGATCGACAACTTGGAAGGCTGCCATGATAACCATTACACCAGCCTCGCCCGGGTGCCGTGCCTTCACAAGGGATCATATATGGAAAGGGTTCGGCCGACTTGTGCTAACGGCTGTGTTACAACATTTTCTTCTTGATCGAAGCGACTGCAGTATCTTCAGACAATTATTGAGTAGCAACAATCAGAGATGCCTGTAAGGCCAATCTCGCCACAGCTCCATTTGTTAGGTTCCATCGGAGCTGATGCAAATCGACTATTTCTCCTATATCTTGAGCACAGTGAAGTATAAGCTGAGTTCAAATAGGAGCGAAGCCCGAGTCCAATGTAGACTCATCAGTATGGTTTCGCCGGGACAGGAAGAAGACGGTTCAAACGAGAGTGGTGTGATGTCCACAAATCTCGCAAATACTATTTTCCTCTTCATTATTCAATACCCTCACAGCGAAGAGTCGAGGACGGCGTCGAGCATATAAAGAGAGGGATTTTTCTCTTGGTGTTAGGCCGTGGAAGACAAGACTTGTAGAATTCACGTAGGTGCTGTTTCGTGCACAGTTATTGCTTTGTCTAGAGCGAAAAAATGTCGTTGCTCCAAGATTGCGCTAAGGTGTGGACCCCTTTCAGAAATCTGTGCTACCTATTAGTTGGCTCATAGTCATGAAACAGACCCAACCTTATATGTAGGCAACGCTACTTTAGCTGTCTTAAGGTCTTAAATTGTGTGGTTCAAGGAGTTAAAAAGGGCATAAAGGGCAAACAGTGGACATTATTCTGGCCCATGTTACAATAGTTTGCGCTCGTCTTTTGAGTGGCGCCTGTTTTGCCCAACTGTAAAATCCTCTTTCATAGGCCAATAAGAATGGAACGATATGAGTGTTCGTCCAGGACTACCCGCTGAATATGTTCCAAATCTGTTCCGAAACGTCAAGCTGCTGGGATTTTTATATCAGTTTGGGTCATCCCTTTGGGGGTTATTTCTCGGAACAGTCTACTTAAATTCCAATCTAGATCGCAGAATGAGTGGCAGGCAGTTGGACCCTAAACAGGACATTATGTTCAGGACAGATGTTTACCAGACTACCAAAAATACAGAATTGCCCGCCGTTGAAATGCTGGATGGTCCTCCCATACGCATATCGTCGAACACTGTGCATTCACTTCTTACTCCACGTGAACATACTTCAAATCTGCCGAATATATGTATATATATATATATATATATATATATATATAACTAGCCTAAAAATAATGTCTAAACCAGTTATATGGG